GACACAAAGTCTAGGGCTCACGTGACACAAAGTCTAGGGCTGACGTGACACAAAGTCTAGGGCTGACGTGACACAAAGTCTATGGCTGACGTGACACAAAGTCTAAGGCTGACGTGACACAAAGTCTAGGGCTCACGTGACACAAAGTCTAGGACTGACGTGACACAAAGTCTAGGGCTGACGTGACACAAAGTCTAGGGCTGACGTGACACAAAGTCTAGGGCTGACGTGACACAAAGTCTAAGGCTGACGTGACACAAAGTCTAGGGCTGACGTGACACAAAGTCTAGGGCTGACGTGACACAAAGTCTAGGTCACCTGGCAAACTGACTCGTGATAAACCACTGTAGGTCACATGGAAATTAAACCTATCACTCTTGCTAAACAAACCTAGGTCTCACACTACATATAGTCTACACAAAGAGGCAACCGTTTTTTGTTTAAAACTCGATTCTTGAAAATGAAAATACCTTGTTACTAAAAGTATCATTCTCAAAAATAATAATTATAATAATAATTAAAGTTTAAATTAAAGATTCAGTAATCAATGTTATCAAGAGTATAACCCTAACCCTAACCAACACATGTTTAGCTGTATACAAACTTTAACCTTCGCTTGTGTAAATGAAAAGCATTAGCATTTCCTCATCGGGAAAAGCATTAAGTAAACTCAGAGGGATTGTGAGGGGAGGGGGTGACATGTACAATCTATTTTTAGCCTAGTGTTTGTTCCTATCATGTGCCTTAACGTCAAAGCGAACCGGAAATGTCAAAATATGGCGGACACCCCACCAGCTCATTCATTCTTAATGATGATCACGTGATGCCCTACCCAGGGATAAGTTGGGGGGGGGGGTGAGTTTTCGCCGGCTCCTTGGACACGGGTGTAATCGGCTGTGTTAAACATCCAGTGACGTCACATAGAACATTTGTTCTAGACTAGCTATAGACTTCCGGTCGCTAGAAGATAGAAGAAATAAATATAATAAATTTTCATCGATTTATTTTTTTATTAAAAATGCATCCCCCTCTCCCTAAACTTAAAACAAGTAATTAATTAAGGGTTTATCGTCCGGAAATTTCATTAAACACACGATTTAATAATAATCACATCTGTCAGTGTGTTGTTGTTTTTTTTACGATATTTTTTTAATGCGATACTGTCTGGGTCGAAATGTTCCAAAGCGATACTTTTGTTACGATACTGATTTTTTTTAAAATAAAGACGATTCTGTTTAATTCCTTCCCATCCCACACACAATCACACTCTCAATCTCAGACACAATCACACATACAATCACACATACAATCACACACACAATCACACACACACAAGCACACACACAAGCACACACACAAGCACACACAATCACACTCTCAATCACATACACAATCAGACACACAATCATACACACAATCACACACACACAATCACACACACAATCACACACACAATCACACACACAATCACACACACAATCACACACACAATCACACACACACAATCACACACACAAACACACACACAAACACACACAAAATCACAGACACGAAGTCCCACTCCATTCTGATGATCTCATTCATTTTTGTGCTCAGTCCAAGAGGTCTAGGCCGGGTCATATGGCGAAGGTCATGGTTAGGGTTATAAGATGCCATCCACAGACTTTGGAAATGACCTTACACTTTGGTGGAATGACGTCAGTATCATCGGGGAGAGGAGAGGGTGGGGGAGGGGGTTGAAGTCTGATGTTTTTAAAATGCTCCATCGAAAGTCCATCAAAAGTCCATTATGGATTGTTTCGTCAGCTGGCACGAGTATGGTTTTTTAAAACGCCCAAGAATTTTTTTCCCATTTCATTTGTCTCGGAAATAATAGAAACAAAAGAATTGACGTCTTGGGTGCTACTGAGAGATCTACTTTTTTATTGCAAAAAGTTTTGACTGTGTTGTATGTGAATGGATGAGGCGCTATATGCTAGGGCTAGTGTATTTGTAGGGCTAGTGTAAACACGGGTTTAAGGTAAACGTAGAGGCTAATGAAGAGATGGGCTAATGTAGACAGTGATATTGTAGACATAGGCCTAATGTACTCAACTGGGCTAATGTAGACATAGGGCTAATGTAGACATAGGGCTAATGTAGACATAGGGATAATGTAGACATAGGGCTAATATACTCAACTGGGCTAATGTACTCAACTGGGCTAATGTAGGCATAGGGCTAATGTAAACATAGGGCTAATCTACCCTATTGATATAAACTAATGTATTCATCGAAGCAAGTGTACTCAGATTATCCAGTGTGCAACTACGGGCTGATCTACTTTGTCATATTCGTGTCACGTGACCTGAGATTATCACGTGATCACCCAATCGTTCATCCTGCAGATTATTGTCACCGATATCCGGGACACCTGCAGCTGACGATCAGACATTTATTCCCCTACCCCCCCCCCCTGCACACACCCCCCCCCCACACACACACAACCCCATCCCCCCCCACACACACACACCTCCCCCCCCCCCCCCCACAAACACACACACAATTTCATTGTTTTTAACCAGTAGGTTATTGATATGTTTAATTGATCCCATTGACTGACTGTATTAATCCACCCATTCAGTTCATTAATCTAATCACTTGATTGATTCATTAATAAATTCAATTAATCGATCTCATTCAACGATTTCATTAATCTTTTAATTAAGGGATCTAATCAATCGATTCCTCAATTGATTCTATTATTGATTCCATTAAATGATCACAATTATGTATCACATTATTTAATCCTAATAATAAATCGCATTAATTGGCCTAATTAGTTGATCAATTTTAAATTATTTAATAATGGTAACAACAGTAAGCACGGAACCCTTTTTTTCACATTGGCCTTTTTTTTAAATACATAATAATAACATATTTGATATACTTGTTCCATTAACTGATCTCAGTAATTTATCACATAAATTAATGCCATTAATTAATCACCGTAATTGATGTCATTATCGACTGCACCTAATCTATACGCGTGCCTTGAGTTCAGAATTTAATAGAAACAAAAACACCCCCCCCCCATTCATCTCTTTAAACCCATCTCTACAATCTTCCACCTGATCTTTCCACCTGACTCCCCCCAAACTTTAGACCTCCCCTTATCTCAGTGCCACCTACGTCCATCTCAACCATCTCACCATTTTTTTTATTTACCTGAGCAGTCCGGTTACGGCACCCCCAATCCAATTACAACTTCCCGCGGTATTTCCTGAACAGTGCTCTCCCCCCTTGTATGGCCGCAGCATAGTGAACGCATCATCGGGAATTTCCAGTGGCGTAAAGCGAAACTAGAGACGGGCGTCGACTGGGGAGTATCAGTTTGCCATTAGCTGAGTGAGACTTCCGTCCCTTTGTTCTTACACTGTGTGAGCTGGTTGCGGGACTTGGATAGATTTTCTAGCTGACCATTGTAATCAAAGGTTGGACTTAGGGAGGGGGGGGGGGGGGTGTTAGGCAAGTGGGGTAGGGTAAGGGTCGAGAAAAATAATCCATAAAATGTGAATCTCAATTTAAAGAAATAAACATATTTTAATTCATTTTTTGTTTTGTTTTACTTTTAAAACTATTTAATGACGGTTATTTTAAATACATTTTTAGTAGTATTATGTACTAAACTGTGAGCACTTCAATATTTTTGTGATGTGCTCCATGTTTTGTATTGGCGTGATAGGTCACGTGGGTCGTTTGACTCCTATGACCGATCCCTGGCTACGCCACTGCCTCCAACAGTGCCCTTCAATAGTGCCCTAATATACCACATAGAAACAGTGCACATTTTTTTTTTCACAAAACATCTTAGTATAACACAAAATATCAAAAGATAAACCAACACACTGTGATGTATTAAGAGATGGCGTGGTGGCCTGTTAACTCGAAATCTAAGTGGTAGATTTTTAATGACGTCATTTTTAACATAGACAACATTGATTTAATCGTCGAGAGTTGAAGCTGAAAATAGTTGCGGAATCACTTTCGTATTTCGAGACTGCTTAAAGGGTGGGGGGACGATGGGTGGGGTAGGAGCGCTTGGGGTGTGGGGACGAGGGGTGGGGTGTGGGGAAGAGGAGGTGGGGGATTGTTTGTACATTCGTTAGGTGACACAGCCTGCCGGATCAATCTATTTTTAGCCTGCTCGTGGGTGCACGTGTTGGACGCGCGTGGTTTTTTTTTTCTATTCGGTTCTCAAATTTTAGGCTGTGGGTCAATTTCATTTGCATAACTTGTCGGGGATTTTTTTTTAAACAAGTGGGGGGTGTAGGGGTGGGAAAGCGTAAGACCTGTCCTCTCTCCTTGCCTATGTGTTTGTATTACTAACCCCACCCCGACTCACACATAGTCTACACGGACAGTTACCCTAAGACCCCGCCCCTAACGAAAGAAATCTACAGCTACCCTCAGACACAAAGTCTACCCCAGACCCCCCGGACACTTCCAACTGACATTCATCCTTACGTTCAAACCCCCAGCCTCTACCCCCAGGATTAACTTCAACCAGCCCCTACCCTCAAACCCCCAGCTCCAAACCCTCACACACCCACCTACTTCCTTCTATCCCCTACTCTCTACCATAAAATCTTCAACCACTTGACACCCACTAGCCTCAGAACCAAACCTCTACTCCCAGATATTCATCCCCAACCCATAGATGACAACCCCTACATTCATCCCTATCATGACAAGCCCCTACCCTCAGACCTCCTAACCCTTAACCCTGACCCCACCCCTACCACAACCCTAAACCAACAGACCACTAACCTCTACATCCATCCATCCATCCCGTACCCTTACATTTGGCTGCATGCTAATAACAATTTTCTTCTAAACGTCTTTCAAAAGTAACATCCCATATACCTCATGACTTTATTTTGATTAAGTGTTGAATAAATTGAAAAAAATCAATAAATAAATAATAATCTCCTCTCTTCCCCAACAGACCAGCAGACGCCATGAGTGAGTATCACGTGATCCTGGTGCACCTGCTGATGGTCACGGCTGACCTATTGGTGCCCTCTAGCGCCCTCTGCACTTTTCCTGAGTTCATGACCAGAAAGGGCGCTAACTCCTGGCAGGGTGACTACAAGGAGGGGAACCATTTCGCCATTTTCATGGTGAGTCCTACAGGATAATAAGTCCTACAGGATAATAAGTCCTACAGACTGTAAATAGTCCTCCAGGACAACATGATTTAAAACTACACAGGACAGTAGATACCGAAGAGTAGATAACAACTCATAGAGTTGTTTTAACATAAAAAGTTCAAGATAATTTCAATATTACCATCAAACCTTTAACCACCAAACACCCAATCCGCTATCAATCCACCAATCTCCTAACCAGCAAGTCTCTAGCCACCAATTCTCGAACATACAATCATCTAACTACCAATTATTTAACCACCAATCATCTAGCCACCAATCATCTAACCACCAATCCTCTAAAATACAATCATCTAGCCACCAATCCTCTAAAATACAATAATCTAGCCACCAATCCTCTAAAATACAATCATCTAGCCACCAATCCCCTAACATACAATCATCTAGCCACCAATCCTCTAAAATACAATCATCTAGCCACCAATCCCCTAACATACAATCATCTAACCACCAATTCTCTAAAATACAATCATCTAGCCACCAATCCTCTAAAATACAATCATCTAGCCACCAATCCTCTAAATACAATTATCTAGCCACCAATCCCCTAACATACAATCATCAAGCCACCAATCATCTTACCACCAATCCCCTAACATACAATCCTCTTACCACCAATCCCCTAACATACAATCATCTAACCACCAATCCTCTACCCACCGACCCTCTAACCACCAATCCTCTAACCACCAATCATATAGCCCCATCATCTAACCACCAATCCTCTACCCACCAATCCTCTACCCACCAATCCTCTAACCACCAATCCTCTACCCACCAATCATCTAACCACCAATCCTCTAACATACAATCATCTAACCACCAACCCTCTAACATACAATCATCTAACCACCAATCCTCTAACATACAATCCTCTAACCACCAATCCTCTACCCACCGACCCTCTAACCACCGACCCTCTACCCACCGACCCTCTAACCACCGACCCTCTACCCACCGACCCTGTACCTCGAGCAGCCGACAGAGATTAAAGTGCGTGAACCCACCTCGATGGGCCAGAACCTCGTGTACGTCCGTCAGTGCTACAGTCTACAAGACGAGGGCAAGTACATCGTGTACGAGAAGAACAACGGCGGCACGTCCTTCTTCTGCATGCAGTTCATCCCCAGGGGCGACACCATCGTCCAGTTCAAGGTCAGTTACGGTCAAGGTCAATCTCTTCTAGGGTCACGGTCAATTGGTTAGGGCTATGGCTAGGATTAGGACTAGGGTTCAGAATTTCTTTCAGACATCACTTCGGGGGAGGGGGGGAGGGGGGGTTAATGCTGAAGTGAATGCTTGAGTTTGGTCTTTTTCTTAAATAAGGTAATATATAGGTATAGAATTTGAGTTAGAGTTAGGATTCTAACTAGAGGGGGGAGTGTAAATTCCCGGGGGGGGGGGAATAATAGACAGGGGGGTAACTTCTCCGAGGGTAAATACGGGGGGTAATGTCCTGTAGCCGTGTAGATTGACCTAGAATACATAATCCAATCATTGCTGGCGCTGGGCTTGACCTTGACCTCTCTGTCTCGCTACCCCCAGGTGTCGCGGAAGAGCAACAACGCCTCGACCATCGACTGTGAAGACTCGGCCATGGCCTACGACAACTACCCGTTGGTCCGGGTCGGTTACAACTCGTCCGTCACCTGCCCGTTCTCAGGTAACCTGGACATTTGGTCACGTGTGTAATGTCCATAGAGTTAGACTTATTTAACGACACTTGTAATGTCCATAGAGTTAGACTTATTTAACGACACTTGTAATGTCCATAGAGTTAGACTTATTTAACGACACTTGTAATGTCCATAGAGTTAGACTTATTTAACGACACTTGTAATGTCCATAGAGTTAGACTTATTTAACGACACTTGTAATATCCATAGAGTTAGGCATTTGCGAAGACATTTTTATCTTTATATACAGACAGGCTACAACTACATTTGTAATGCCCTTATACATCTAGGCTTAAACCACGACATTTGTAATGTCCACGTACTTCTAGGCTTAAACCACGACATTTGTAACGTCCATATACAGTTAGCTTAAACAATGACAATTCTAATGTCAAGAAACAGTTCAGCTTAAACCACATTTGTAATGTCAATTTTTATTTAATGTTTTATTATAAACACTTGAGACTTAAATGACATTAGCGTTGGCCACTTACATGTACCTTACAAATAAACAAAAATCAAACTAGACTCAAAACTGCGACATTTGGTGAATGTGTGTGCACACTTCACTCACGACATTCACCATCTCAACGACCTTGACCTTTTCAAACTAAAACGTCACTTCCGGTGGTGCTGCAGGCGGCTACAACATCCGGGCCTTCTACCCCAACTCGTCAGACATCTGCACCGACATCCAGCTGATCCGCCTGGAGAGCGAGTGCGACAAGAACAGCGGGATAACTTTGAACTTCAGGTGACCTTGAACCCCTCGGGGTCACTTTTTTGTTTTATTTAACACAGTATTTATTTTGTTTAGTCACGTGATTTGTGTGGGTCACCGGGCATGGACGCCTGTGGATAAGTAAACTAAAAATTACCCCAAACCAGTGTTTCTTTCAGACTTTTTTCTCCGGGTGGGAGGGGGTAGCACCCCCGAAGAGATGCCCGGAAGAAACTGCCTTAAACGTATTTGGGTAAACACTAAACGACCTTGGACGTATAGGCGTGTAAACAAAATAACTTTTCCCTAGACCTAGGGTTAAAAAACGAGGTGTTTTTTTTTAAATCTAAATGAGCAAATCATCAACTTTCCCACATACCTATATGACCAAACCATCAACTTTACCCTAGACGTGAATGAAAAAAACTATCAACTTTACCCTAGACCTGAGAAAAAACTATCAACTTTACCCTATACCTGAATGAAAAAACCATCAACTTTACCCTATACCTGAATGAAAAAGCCATCAACTTTACCCTATACCTGAATGAAAAAACCATCAACTTTACCCTATACCTGAATGAAATAAACCGGGAGTGATCTCCCCTAAACTTTCTCGAATATTCTAATATAACACTACGTGGGATGTTAACTCGGAATATAGACATGATTTTTGTTTACTCAAACTTTTAAAAATAGAATAAAATCTAGTAGAAAAAAAAATTGCGCACCAAGCGAGCACCAAAACCAAATGTGCGTAACAGTGCGCATTATTATTAGTACTTTATAAATTTACATGCGTTTTTTGAGAAATCGGAAATAGCGTAAATTAGTACTTCCGGTCAACGAAAATTACTCAAAATTTGATAGAAGGTAGAGAATTAGATCTTTTACTTACATGTGAAATTTCATTTATCTATCTGAATTAGTACTCAAGTTATAGGCTTTTGAAAAATTCAAAGTAGAAAAAGTACCACTTCCGGTTATCGGAAATCGCTCAAAAGTTGATACGGATCTACGATTTTGATATAATACTTATATATGAAATTCCATCAACCTAGCTGTAACGGTACTCAAGTAATCGTGTTTACACACAGACAGACACACAGACACACAGACACACACACACACACACACACAGACAGACATACGGACAAGATTGCAAAATTATGTTTTTCCGTATCAGTGAGGTGTAAAACGTCGAGATTTGTAAAAATCTCGATTTTTTTTTTTTGCACGATTACAATACTTTCTCTATACTACGTATATACGAGAAAGTAAAAACTATCAATGTTCCCCAGAACTATATGAGCACAATGTAACCTTTTCCATCGATGATGTTTACAATGCAGGTATAAAAAATATGTATGTAAAAACAATCAAAATAACACGGCAGTTAACATCGCAACGTAGGAAGTCGACGTAAAGCTCTGGAACATTCTAGTCTGACGCCGGGTAATGCCACATTTTTTTAACGATGGGTTAACGGGAGATGGATGAGATAAACAAATGCTGGATGACAGACGGTCTGATGCTGGATGTTCAGATGGAATAAATGTCATGCCAGCTCCCGAAAACGAAAGGGTGACATTAGCAAAGGTTATATTATGGCCTTACGTTAACACAGTCTAACTGGTTCTATTATGTAAAGTAACAAATATTCTTTTTTCGTTTTTATGGTATTTTTGTTAAATGCAAATTTGTCTAATTATCTACTGACATTTAGACTAAAAAAATATTTAAATAGTCGTATCCAATTGTATAAGTAGAATCTGAATGAAAAACAAAATGTCTAACAGAAATGATTATCTTTGGACAAGAGACATAACTCAGGAAAACTTGCATTTACATTTATTTCCAGGATTACTTCCCTTAGTCCGTAAATATTTTTTTTTTTTTTTTTTTTGTTTTTTTTTAAAATCTCATTTCGAGTACAATTATTTCTGGTTGGATCTATAAGTTCTAGTCTAATCTTACACATTGAAGCCGATTTTCTTTGCGTGCTATGTTCCAAGATTGATTCACTTTAAGTATGATAAAAGGCTTCAAAAGTTGATCAATGCGTATCATTGGTAATTTAATGTTAAATGGACTAGGGGAAACTACTCATGAATTACTCCATTTTTTTCCCCATCAACAAAGAGTTCGAATATACTAATTAAAAAAAAAATTAGTTCAATGAAATATGGAACATTATTTTTCATCAGGAGAGAGGAGTGTGTACCAAGAGACTTCGTGAACGGAAGGGTGAACAGAATCCACCATCTTAGCTGTGTGACGCACTGGACTTTGGGCGACTTCACCTTCATCATACTACAGGTGAGTGGTCACGTGTTTTATACAGGTGAGTAGTCAGGTGTTTTATACAGGTGAGTGGTCAGGTGTTTTATACAGGTGAGTGGTCACGTGTTTTATACAGGTGAGTGGTCACACAGGTGAGTGTTCAGGTGTTTTATACAGGTGAGTAGTCAGGTGTTTTATACAGGTGAGTGGTCAGGTGTTTTATACAGGTGAGTGGTCAGGTGTTTTATACAGGTGAGTAGTCAGGTGTTTTATACAGGTGAGTGGTCAGGTGTTTTATACAGGTGAGTGGTCACGTGTTTTATACAGGTGAGTAGTCAGGTGTTTTATACAGGTGAGTGGTCAGGTGTTTTATACAGGTGAGTGGTCACGTGTTTTATACAGGTGAGTGGTCACGTGTTTTATACAGGTGGTCACACAGGTGAGTGTTCAGGTGTTTTATACAGGTGAGTGGTCAGGTGTTTTATACAGGTGAGTGGTCACGTGTTTTATACAGGTGAGTGGTCACGTGTTTTATACAGGTGGTCACACAGGTGAGTGTTCAGGTGTTTTATACAGGTGAGTGGTCAGGTGTTTTATACAGGTGAGTGGTCACGTGTTTTATACAGGTGAGTGGTCACGTGTTTTATACAGGTGGTCACACAGGTGAGTGGTCAGGTGTTTTATACAGGTGAGTGGTCAGGTGTTTTATACAGGTGAGTGGTAACTTGTTTTATACAGGTGGTCACACAGGTGAGTGGTCAGGTGTTTTATACAGGTGAGTGGTCAGGTGTTTTATACAGGTGAGTGGTCAGGTGTTTTATACAGGTGAGTGGTCAGGTGTTTTATACAGGTGAGTGGTAACTTGTTTTATACAGGTGGTCACACAGGTGAGTGGTCAGGTGTTTTATACAGGTGAGTGGTCAGGTGTTTTATACAGGTGAGTGGTCACGTGTTTTATACAGGTGAGTGGTCAGGTGTTTTATACAGGTGAGTGGTCACACAGGTGAGTGGTCAGGTGTTTTATACAGGTGAGTGGTCAGGTGTTTTATACAGGTGAGTGGTCACACAGGTGTGTGGTCACACAGGTGAGTGGTCAGGTGTTTTATACAGGTGAGTAGTCACACAGGTATGTGGTTCTCTGTTTTATTATAGGTGAGTGGTCAATTGTTTTATACAGGAGAGTGGTCAGTTGTTTTATACAGATAAACGTAAGTTTATTTATTTTTTTAAATTATTAAAAAACTCGTGATTTTGTCTGATTACCGTCTCCACGGTTACCTATCCTTCCCCCCCCCCCCCCTCTTGCAGCACAAAGAGTACAGCAACAAATTCTTCTGCCTCCGCACCAAAGACCCCCTGAACAACATCGCAGAGGCCCACCTGTTCACCAAGCTGGTCTGTGAGACGGAACCTATCATGTCCGTGGAGCACACGCCCCACTTCATTGAGCTCAAGCTCAGCAAGAAAATCTTTTCCAGCACGTGCGAGGACGACCTTGACGAGTGCCACGAGACGTCCTACTACTGCGACCGTCCGGAGCGCGTGCTGTGTGCGCAGTCATGTGACCTGTGTAAAACAGAGTCGGACATCGGGAGCTGCACGTTTGGGGAGCAGTTTCGTGGGAGGTGGGTGTGGGGGAGTCGTGGGGAGGTGTGGGTGTGTAAGTCGTAGGGAGGTGGGTGTGTGGGAGTTGTAGGGAGGTGGGTGTGGGGGAGTTGTAGGGAGGTGGGTGTGTGGGAGTTGTAGGGAGGTGGGTGTCGTAGGGAGGTGGGTGTGGGGGAGTCGTGGGGAGGTGGGAGTCGTAGGGAGGTGGGTGTGTGGGAGTTGTAGGGAGGTGGGTGTGTGGGAGTTGTAGGGAGGTGGGTGTGTGGGAGTTGTAGGGAGGTGGGTGTCGTAGGGAGGTGGGTGTGTGGGAGTCGTAGGGAGGTAGGAGTTGTAGGGAGGTGGGTGTGTGGGAGTTGTAGGGAGGTGGGTGTGTGGGAGTTGTAGTGAGGTGGGTGTGTGGGAGTCGTAGGGAGGTGGGTGTGTGGGAGTCGTAGGGAGGTAGGAGTTGTAGGGAGGTGGGTGTGTGGGAGTTGTAGTGAGGTAGGTGTTCGTGAGTCGTAGGGAGGTGGGTGTGTGGGAGTTGTAGGGAGGTGGGTGTCGTAGGGAGGTGTGTGGGAGTTGTAGTGAGGTGGGTGTGTGGGAGTCGTAGGGAGGTGGGTGTGAGTCGTAGAGAGGTGTGAGTCGTAGGGATACTTAGGGAGGTGGGTGTGAGTTGTAGGGAGGTGTGTGTGTGTGAGATTCATAAGGAGGTGGGTGTGAGTCGTAAGGATGTGTGTGTGTGTGGGTGACACGCCCACTTAAACATTAGAAATTTGTTTTTAGAAATTTGCCTGAAAGAAACCCTGACATGTCAAACTAAACACCCGCCAACACATACTTTCAAGCACACACATACAATAGTTGTCCAGTTAGATTTTTCTCTTTAAAAATAGTTTATAATGTATTAAAGTATATCATCCACCCCCCCTCCCTCCATCTCTCTCCCCTCCCCCTCCCCCCCGACAGGTGGATCGAGAGCAGCAAGTTCAAGGACACGGAGATGGAGGTCCAGTCCTACTCCATGAACATCAGCGAGCCCAGCGAGTACAAGTGCCTGGACCTGGACACCGACCAGAAGAAACACCAGCGGGTCATGGTCCAGCTCTTCAGCAACGGCTGCTACCCGCGCTACGTCTGCTTGGAACTGGAGAAGGTCACGTCCTCCGTGATGAAGTACCGGATGGGCAGACGGCTGGTGTGGCCGCTGGAGCATTTCCTGACCCTCCCAAAGTGGACGTCGGATGTGTGTAAGGCTGAGAACTTTGTTGTCAAATCGGAGACGACCCACGAGCTGCAGTCAAAGCTCCTGGTGACGATGGATCAGATTAAAGAGGTCAGGGTCGTGACCCGTTAGTTCTTAAAATAACGCACAATTATTTATATAACTTTCGCCTTTTGTCATTATTTTTTCAACATCTTACTATTTTAATTCCATAGCAATCTTTACTTGATTTTTGTAAATTAATTTCGCATCTAAATGTGTTAAAATCTGTAGAGTTATGGACTGTAATGGATGCTCTTTTATGTTCTAAGTTTGAAGCTACGAACTCAATTTGTAGCTATTTTCCTCACTTTCGGACATGTCAGTCCAGCTTCTCCCGTTTTCCTCTCAAAAGATTCTTACCATGACATTTTTTACCTTCTTTTCTTTATCTTTCCCTCTGAATTACACTCCAGTTCTCGCCTCGTGATGTTATTATGAGCCTTTTTCTTTCTTTATTTTTTTTGCGATGTGCATTACTCATCCACCTCATCTCTAACTAAACAGAACTCAGCCACACCTAAATTTTAAGCTTTTTACAATATCTGACCACGATGAAATTACATTTGAAATATACTTCGTACATGATGAATGTTGTGTATATCTTACCCCCACACCTCTCCCCATGGGGGAAGGGGTGGGGGTGCTAACCCGAAAGTCTCGAGTTCGACTCCGGGTTCAACTCGGTATAACATCCCTGAGTCTAATCAGCTCTAATAGGTACCTAACTCAGGTAAAGTAAAGGCTGCTGGCCAAAGTGCTGATTACATCTTCCCTTCATATGCCGAGGCCAAGAAACATATGAATTCATCTGCCCAATGGATCGCTAGGTCTAAAGAGGATTATATAATATTTTAACACCTCCCCCCCCCCCCCCCTACCAACAGGTGCCGTGTGAGCTCCCACAGCGTCTGGAGAAGGTGGCCTTCAAGGACAACTCCCCCCCTCACAACTGTGGTGGCTGTCTGCATTACGACTCATCCAGCAAGCCGACCCAGTTCTCTATCAGGTTCGTCTCAGGTCAGGGGTCAAAGGGCAGCTATGCTCCAACATTGTGTTCGGTCATAGCCTTGCGTTTGTTGACTCAATGAAATGCCCCCCCCCCCCCATCAACTATGTTTCTTAAGAAAGTATAAAGTTGTACCTCTACAAGCTTAACCTTTTTTCACCCAATTTAATTATATTATTAACTAATGTTCCTTTTAAAAAAAGTCTAAACTTACACATGTACTCTACTGCCCCCTTAAGAAAGTATAAAGTTGTACCTCTACAAGCTTAACCTTTTTTTTTTCCCAATTTAATTATATTATTAACTAATGTTCTTTTTTTTTAAAAAGTCTAAACTTACACCTGTACTCTACTGCCCCTACCAGCCCAGTGAATTGTTCCGTGTTCCTCCCGTGGCCGCTACAGTACAGCTGCCTGGCGTCCAACCGTATCAACAACGACACGTACACCATAGTGACCAAGACTCGCTATTACGAGAGGGAGCAGTTTCTCTACTGGCGCTTTGATATCTTGCAGGGGACCATCAAGGTATGACGTCACTGGTGTATACACCCCCCTCCCCCGGAGTGTTACTGTAACATGTTAGGTCAAAAATTGTAAGTTGGGAGGGGGGTACCATTCTCCTTTTTCATAATTTTTTCCCGTTCGTGCCCAAGAATGGTCAGGACTATGCCCAGACGCCTTGGGTTCCCTAATGTTTTTCCTAAGATCTCATGGGTACCTGGTTGTAACTGGGATAGAGAGAGAAGGGTTATAGTGATGACCACACAATTTCCAATATAATAATGCTACAGCTGTATAATATTGGCTTCACCTGTTTACTAAACTGACAGATCTCAAACAATGCGTTACTGTGTTTTGGTTGGGGTGTTGGAGAACAAAGGGGGGGGGGGGATAAATTTTTTGGAGACCTCAGCTATCCTTGGGTCGCCGATTATAGAAGAAAATCGGCATGTATTTGAGTGTTTGAAAAAAAATACTTTTTTAACACAAATGTTAACTCATACCTCCTTTAACAACTAACCATCGCCTTGCCCCTCATTACACATCAGTGCCAAGATCCGAAGTCATGGGATAACCTCTAGGGTAGAGGGGTCTGAAACTTCTTAGCGATTAATTACAAAAAAAGCCCCCCCCCCCCCCTTTTTTTTTTTCACGTAATCGCCCAATTCTTAAAATCGAAAAAAAAAAAAACCTCACAAAGGTAGATCATGTATGAAGGGCCACCTAATACCATCTCTTTTAAGAGACCCCTGAAATTTTCTTAAGTAATCAGACATTAAAAATAAAAATCTCTCCCCTAGGTTCTGAAGGTAGCCGATGCACTCGCATTCGAGGCGGATGTGTCTAAATCAGATCTAATCGTTGCCCTTTTCTCAATCGTCAAGAGCGACAACTTGCTGTGTAAAAACTATGTCCAGCTGCCGCCTTTTGAAGCGACAACCCCCCACCCAGCCTCTCAAAGGGACGACAACAACGCCAACAATGTTAACAACGATCGCAACAATTATGAAACCCAACTCGAGGTAGTCGTTGAAGGAAATGATGACAGGAAAGAAATCAGTCAACCAATCAACGACAAACATCAAATCGACTCTCCGAAAAGTGAGGGGTCCAAAAACAAAGGGCGAAATCTCCAACCTGAATTTGTATTGGTTTGTTTCGCTGCATCACTATTGGTGCATGTTATTAGAACTGATATCTTTCAAGCTCTAATCACTCAAAGATGACTTAATTAATACCAAATAAGTTTTGAACTGTAGGCCTAAAATGTGTGAGTATCGTACCTAATCTAAAACATGATACACTACTTAGTACTACTTACAATATCAGGAAAAATAATTGCTACAACTAGATTCTAGATCTAAAAGGTTTTTTCTTTACATTTTTTTTCTTACCTAGATTCTAGATCTAATACCTCCTTTTTAAATATTTTTTTAAAGAATTTTTAAACACCGTATTATCGTTGGACAGTGTTGTTTTACCTTGGTTGAAAAAAAAAACATTGCTATGTCGTCAGTTTTTTTTTTTCTAATCTCTAAAAGATTAGCGATCAGGCTGTGCTGGCCACGCCCATTTAGGCCTAACGGACACACATTCCAACTAAAGTCCATGTAAAAGGAGCCTAACGTACATGCAAGGCCAGTTTCAACCAATTTTTAAAAAAAGTTTTGCGAAAATCCTGGCAACTTCTGCTATTGATTTTAAAAAAAAACGCACAGACTTGGCCCGAATTTCTTGTGCTTAAAATTTGAATTTTTTTTAATATCATAAATCAATGTGTATTTAAATGCATTGGCCTACTGTCAAATATTTTCATAAATTACTGCGATGTTGCTTAACTTTTTACATTTAGCCAGTGGAAAAATATTGGACATCGGACCAGATTGAAGACTGGAATCATTAATCATTTTTATTTGGTCTAGCACGTCCTACTTAAAAGTTGAACATCGATGCCCGCCAGATTTGTTTACTTTCACTCTTCTTCTTCAAGTGTTTAAAAAACATTATTATGCCTATGCCTATCTATATTTATACTACTAAAAGTCAAGTTTGTTTACATGTTTGAATATTTATTTGTTTGCCTGATCGAAAATTGTGATATGTTCGACTCTATCTGGAAAGCTGTAAAATAGTATGCAGGTAGAGAATAATTTTTTAATGCAGACAGACTGTTGATCACAAATTTATTTAAAGACGTTAATTAATTTATTGATTTATTCCTACGCAGAATAACCCTTTTTTTTTTTAAATGTTAAAACCTTGACTAAACTTTGTGGGAATAGTGACGTCACAGGTTTTTGTTTACTCTTTAGTACAATAAAATGGCGGCGTCTATTGAAGAAAATTGTGTTCCCATTCAAAAGTTTAACGCGTTCTAAATCTAATTTTCTGTCGGTAATAACTTTAACAATACGTCCGTTTGCTGTATTTATTACGTTCCAACACTTATATCAATTTTCAACTGTCTTTTTCATTTAGTTTTACGATAAATTTCTCTAGATCTAAAGATCAGCTATCGAAGGAAATTTATGAATCTAGCCTAGATCTAGATCTAGCCTAGATGTAGGTCACTAGATTCAATGTAAATTCTACATCTAGAATCTATTTCAGGCCTTAATTATTTTATATAAATCTTTGTTTGGCTTATTTAAGATAAAATTTAATTTGAAAGTTAGTACTACTAGACTTATTTTTAGATCTAGATCTAGAATCTATACGCGTAAATCAAGTTGCATAAGGAGACACATAGTATAGTATAAAAATTCACTTGTGACGTCACGAGTAAATAGCTAACTTGGTAGTGAGGTCGGCTCTCATGTGGGTGGCACAGGTTCTAGACCAATTCATCAATGATTTTTTTTCTTCAATTTTTTTTTTTTAGATGTGAATGATAACGTTGCCTATCTGAACTTGGCAAGATACAGGGCAGGTGAAGTAGAGTTCATCTGTTTCTTTGTCCTAAGCATATGAAAGGATAGTGTGGTCAGATACATGCTCGGCTGGAATTGTTTTTTAAACGATAAAAACATGTTGTCTGAGACTTGGCAGGACACTGGGCAGGTGAAGTAGAGTTGAGTAGGTCACCTGTGACGTCAGTTTATGAAGGGATAGTCCGAAATCGGTGTTTTCGGTGTTTTTAAAAGATAAAAAACATATATTTGAATGTGGGGTCTGTTTTTTGTGACGATAAGTGACACTGCAGTAGCGTACCGAGGAGGGGGGGGGGGGCGGTAGGGGAGGGGAGGCGGGGGGTGGGGAGGGGAGGCGGGGGGTGGGGAGGGGAGGCGGGGGGTGGGGAGGGGAGGCGGGGGGGGGGGAAGGGGGGGTGGGGAGGTGGAGGGGGGAAGGGGGGGGACATATGTTGGGGCGCCAAAATGGTTTGGAAAAATAAATTGATAGGTTGAGGGGGGTTCAAATCGAAAGTTTGAGTGGGGGGGGGTGCACATCAAAAGTTTGAGGGGGGGGGGGGGGGGGGGTTCAAATCGAAAACTTTGTCCCCGGGCGCCGGGAAGGGTCGCTATGCCTCTGAGTGACAGACGTGATGTTTTTTGATGGATGACCCCCGAAACCCACAGTTATCCAACGGATGACGGGTATTCTAGTTAGATCTATTATCGTGTGGTGTCATGACAAGAAATCTGGAACTACTTCATTAGATCTAGATCTAGATCTGACAGGGCGCCTAGATTCTAGAATCAATTTTATCTTAAAATGTAATAACACATTCATTAAACCAGTAACGTCATAAGTTGTGGGCAGAGTGCGGTCCGCACCGGATGACACCATTGCGGGGAGGGGGGTGGGAGATGTTTTATCCATGAAAATAATAAAATAGAGGGGTGGCACCAAACCAAAATTGTTAAATTATTGAAAGAGGGGGGGGGGTGAACCCTCCAGTTACCATGCAGGGTGACACCCGACCAAATGACGCCACTGCACTCAACTACAATTTTATTTTAAAAATAAGTTCTTAATATAGCCTAACCCTAAAGTAAAAGTAGATGATTTAATCATTAAATCAGTATTTAGTTATAGATCTAGATCCATAATCTATAACCAGGTTCTTTTATTTTAAAAACATTTTGTGTTGTATATTTAACCTAGTGTAAACTAGATAGATCTATGTTCTTATAAGGAAACAATAAAGACTAAGCTAAGCATAATAAAATATAGGCTATCATCATTTTTGTCTTTACACGTGCTTTTATAATATACCAACTTCATATCTATCTGCATATAGTTAGGCTGCATATATTTGCCCACTGTTAATGTATAGACAAATCAAAAGACTAAACAGAAAGTAATCATAACTACATGTATTACAATAAAAAAAATTTACTAGAACGATTAATTCTGTGATCCGGTGAGATTATTTTTTTTCTACCAACTGTGGTGAGTTATTTTCATTAATCAAACTATTGTGTACATATACAAACTGTACTTTTTTTTTGTCTTATAAGCTTTTAATAACACATTGTTACCTAGCTTGCTCGTAAAATAGATCTGGAGGTAGTCTACTTAGGGGTCATCCATAAATGACGTCACACTCGTAGGGGGGAGGGGGGGTCTGTAATTTTGTGATGGTGTGTGATGAGGTGGAAGGGGGGGGGGGGGGTTCAGATCGTGCGACGTCACACTTTTGCATTATAAAAAAGCAATGTTAGAAAACTAATTTTAGACATTATTTCGCGTTTTAGAAAACTGTTTTAATAGGAATTGATTAAAATACTTTATTTTGACAAAGTTCGGACAAGATTTTGGAAAAATATCGATGTTTTAAGAAAAATTGAACTGCAATTTTGAGGGGGGGGGGGTGTTGTAGGCTGAGGTGTCAAAAAAAGCGTGACGTCATTTATGAATGACTCCTTAATATTTAGTTCACATATTGAAACAATTAAACTGCTAGTTCAGTATCATTTCATGGGGGTTGGGAGGGCTAGAACTAGATTGAAGGAATACAGAATGGTACAATTGTTAGTCTACAGCCACAGTTGAGATGTCACTGTGTGAATATTGCCACTATCTTCATAGTGATACCAGCCTTTTGAATTGTGTAAACCCAGATTAGCTTATTCAAATAAGGATTTATATAAATTACACAATCTGCATCTTTGAATGTAATGCTTGTTGTTAGGAAAGGACCGTATCTCCTGTTCCTAAACCCACTTGTTTCTATTATTTAAAATGACCATTCCAATTGTTTGTTTACTTTTATCTTCTATTTTTTTTTTGTCATTTTATTATTGCACTTATCTATGGTTCAACCAGGGAGAGGGGGGGGGTACACCTTGGGTCTGGTTTAAATATAGCCTTCTATTTTCAGTTATGGCGTATCTAGGGGAGGTGGAAGGGAGCGTACTACCCCAGGCATCACTTTTTTTTCTATATGCACATAAATTGGTGGGTGAGTGGAGGGCAACTTATTTGTACACATTTGTAAATACGCTGGCTGTATTCTCCGGATTTTACCTCCCCCTTTCCACTTGCTGAAATGTATAGTTGTGATACTCAGGCTAGGTATACTTAGAAGACAAGATATAATTTAATTTGAAATTGATTTCTAATTAATGACTGTCATTAGCAGGCCCATAATTATCCCTGGTTGTCCCACTGGCACTCTTGTACATAAAAAGTTTTACAATGGTGGATTATTGTACAAATTTTATCTTACACTTTTTGTTTATGATGTGAGTTAACAGTAAATGAATGGAAAGCAAGTTAATAGACACTGAATAATTGCTACTTATTTTTATTTTTAAAAAAAATTCTCTTAATTAATTGATGGAACTATTTATATTACAATTTTGATCAGCTATTGGATTAATGTATCTAACTATACTATATATAGAGTAGATTTCTCTTTTTTAGAAGCATTTTGTAGTCAGGCTTTTGCAAAATAAAAATTACCTTGTTATTTTTAAAAAATTCCTGGCTAAGTGGTGTACATAATTAATAATAGTTAAGTGGGTGTGAGAAAGGGTATGAATGGTATGCTAAATGATGCACTGCAGTAGGAGTATATTGCGGGAATGCACTTTTTTCCCTTTTTTTTTTGTAGTCATATCATCTTCATTTTAGTGGTGTGTATATATAACTGATGCCTGCACTAACAATGTGTGTTTACAATAGTGTTGGAAGCAAGAGTAGCATGTCTGCAATACGTCTGCGATAATAGTTTTTCAGCTTGTGGTTTGCTTGCAGTAATGTTTCAGCATGCAGTGTGCACGTGTAAGCAAGTTTTCTATTACAAATTTGCCTTTACAATTTACGCTAATTACATTAACACCTGCTTGATCTTTAATATGTGTTGTGTAGGCTGAACATCTGATAATAGGAATGTTATCTAATTCTCCTAATATGATCGAATTAGTATGATAATAAAATACATTTTTTATTGCATAATCTAACTTTCTACATAGGGTGAATACATTAATGGTACCCACATAATCAAGAGAGTGGGTTTTATAAAGTTGTCTTCTGTCCATACTTAACTGATAACATCAATATGATAATTGGTTATAAAAAGCATAACTTCATTTATCCTGCATGCTGCATAAAGTATATACATTATTTCGATACTGTAGCCATTTCAGAAATTATATTTTAATTTGTACTTGTTTCATCAACGTATTCTAATTTTAGTATTTAATTCAAGACAAAGCCTTAGCGCTAAAGAATCAATAACTATTTAAATAATAATCATGGTAATGTCCCCACATACATAGTATTCAATTACAGTATAATTATAGTAATTTTATGCGTTTTTGAAGGAAACCATCATAATTTTTTGTGTCAAGGCAGGGTTTGTGTTAATTGAAAATTGACGTGTGGGTAGTAAACGTGTCAAAAATTCCATTCTTTGTAGAAGATTATAACCCCATACTTATACAGAGATCTCTCTCAATACTATTTATAATTATAGTGACTAAACATATTAAATTCAGTTTTCATACGTCTCTATGTCAGGGTTAATTTTATCGTTTTTTTTTCTTTTGGTTTTTTTTAATGAACATGGTCAAGACATAATACTATATGCTCCTTTTGTCAGGGTTCAATCTAACTGACCATAGCAGCCTATAACAAAGCTGTAGCTACCCATCTTCTACGACCAATTAAAATAACTTATGGGGAAATCTATAAAGTTGGCCCCACCCCAAGAGACAGGCAGTCTCAGGGTCTACATCATTCTCAAGTCAAATCCCTGGTGTGACTTGTATTTGAACCCAAAGCCCTAGATTACTGACTTGAATTTTATTTTAATGCTTTGAACTATATACATACCAACGAATCGCAGTAGTGTGCATTGGATCTCATATGATATGAAAGCAAAAACATTTAAAAGACTGTGTTTTACTCATAGAAGAATCAGACATTGGTACTTTGTTGTTCTCCATAAGGTAGAAGTAAAATAATATTTTTTTTGCTGGTATTTGTGATATCAAAGTAAAGTTTCTCTGGACCTAATGATCCATTGTGTAGATCTATGTTTCTTGACCTCAGCATATGAATGGATGGTGTGGTCAGAACTATGCCCAGCCACCTTTACTTTCCCATACACAAGTCAGGTGCCTATCAGAACTGTGTGGATTTAGGGACATGCTAGTTACAAGTATTAATTGAGATCAGAACTTATGACAAGCAGCCTGTCTACCGTTTGACCACGCCGTCCCCTTGTTTGTGATATTTCTAACAGTACAGAGAAACCATTAGAATAAGACACCTTTATAGATGTTAACCTGTTGGAGAACAGAAGAGAATCAAATTTCTTTAGCTTTGAAATTGTGTGATTTTGATGTTATGTGGTGTAAATGTGGTATCAAAAAATAATTTCTGCAGCCAAGCTGTAGTTGACATTTTGATTCTATAGCCATGGTCTACCTAATAATTTGGTCCTATGGCTTTGATACAATTGACATTTTGATGAACTTTGGTATACATGTAAACTTAGTTAAGTACTGCAGTTTTTTGCCATTTGTGAAGGAAAACTATTTTTTCTCGTCATCTCATTTTTTTTTTACATTCTACTGATTAATGAATTTTTTTTTTCCACTTAAAAAATCAAGTGATGAAACCATCAGTGTTTTTCACAAACTCTATCTGATTGTATAGTCTTTCTTCTTGATGCTGTTCAATACAACATGCTTGCAATTTTTCCTACATTACTATACTGTACTATCAAAAAGTCCAGCTGAACTGGTTGAGTGCAATGCAAGAAATTTGTGATAATGTACATTTATACAAAGGTCCACACAAATGATTTTTTTTAATGTTTTTAAATTATAATTATACATGTTTTGGTGAAATGTTTATATATATATGTAAAATTAAAATGGTTGACAATTAAACTGTTTTTATTATAATACAACACTTGAGAATATAGTTTTTAAATGAGTTTCCGCAATGTCTGCTATTTGTAAAGTTAAAATAGTGAAACATTTTTGTTAAAACTAAGGGTTCTATACATGAGAATTTTTTTCTATTTAACTTGATATCCTAGCTTAGCAATTGGAACATTAGATCAGCTTCTTCTTATACAAATTTAATCTAAGAAATTTAGTTAAACAGTTTGAGTGGAGATCTTGTGATATGAAATATAAGATGTCTGTCACATGGAAAGTGACACTAAACTAGTCACAATCCATGTGACAACATGATATACCTGAGACTGGAAGAAATTTTTGTGGCTAATTTTTTTTCATACCACTTGTGCATGCTCAATGCTTTTTTTTCCAGAGTTATTTAAATAAATCAATTTACAAAAAATTTTCCCCACTTGTATTTTATTTTTGATTCCCATGTTACAGTTTTATTTTACAATGATGTGAACACAAGGGGTATTTAGAAAAGCATTTATGTCAGTTTATGTGACAGCAAGGTTCAGACGATCTATATCTTTCTTCAAATCCTCGATGTCGTTGCCTCTGAATGGATCAAATGTAAGAAAATATTAATATGAATTCAGTAAGGAAAAAAAAACAAATTTTACAAAATGTCATTACCTCTGAATTGATATAGCATAAGAAATATAAATATGAATTGATGAGAAATTCTATTTTTTTTAAAAAACAAAAATGCCATACAGAAAACTTGATCAACTGCATAAAGTTTTTCAAGCCTGAAGATACAAAGTTTCTTTTAAGACATGATAGTCCAATGGGGAGGTGAAGAAACATTCATGTTTCAATTAAATCAGCATTTTATGGGTTTGTGTCGTCAAGCTAACCACCTTTACTTTTCCTGACTTCCAGGTACCCATTAAAGCTGGGTGAATCCGGGGAGGTGCAGATGACCTAAGCCAATGAGCCGAACTTGAGACAGTGTGGGCAATGAATGTCTAGTCCATCCTATCTAATATATAAGGTTTTAAAATTAGTGGGTGGCTGAGGAAACAAACAACACATACTCTTCTTTAAGCACATCATGAATCTGTAACAGCTGGCGTTTCTTCAAGGTTGGCCCACCAACACGAGGTGTCTTTGTCATTTTTGTGTCTTGGACTTCTTGTTTCACCCTCACCTGTACAAAACCAAAAGGTAAAATTCTGAGTCAATAAACCAGAAAACTGCAAGCATCGAGTTGTAAGGGAAAAAAATACTTGAACAGAGCAAACTTAATTACAATTAAAGTAAAGAGCCTTAATGTTAAAGAATAGAACTTGTCATTCAGTACAACTCCTAGCAACAACACAATCAACAAGTGTAAATCAGTTGTTAAAAGAATTTATGAAAGCTGAGTGCTAATGAGTTTGGCTACTGTAAAAAACACAAGGAATGAATTAGGGTTTGAGTTTTTTATTATCTCCCCTTTATATACATTGGTTCTAATAAAAAAATAAAAAGAATTCTTAAAACCTGTTTGTGAATAATTAAATACTAGTAAGAAGAATGGCCATATATGACCCATAATTTAAAATTCAAGCATTTGATTGCAACAATCACAATGATTGATAAACAGCAGTTTTTCATCAACCATGGACACATTAGGAAACAAAAGGGACATAAAGAGTTATCTAACGGTGCTCGGAAAGATGTGCAAAGGAAAACTGCACACAAATATTCGAAAGGGCCTTTTTTTAAATCAAGCATTTATAGCTATTAACTTTGTAGACATTAAGAGTGACTACGTGTACATTGTAGCATATCAAAACATATTTTCACAAAATATGACAAATTTTAAGTGTATTAATATAATTAGTTTGTATTAGCACATATTTCTGTTTGAGCAGTTTTCTGACTGCAAATTTTTCCTGGGAATCACAGCTAACACATTTGATAATGATTTTTATTAAACAACCTGTCAATCAGGCAAACAAAATCACCCCTGTCAAGCAATCAAACACAATCACCCCTGTCTATCAATTAAACATATTTACCTGTTCAATGTGCCTCTCATACATTTCCATGTTTTCTTTAATTTTCTTCAGTTCCTTCAGCATTTGTCTCTCAGCCTCGGACAGGGTTGGTATCCTGTTCTGTACTTTACGCAGCACAGCTTCCACTCTATACAATCAACATTATAAAATGTATAAATAAAACAGGAACATTAGCAATAATGACAAATCTGGCTATTTTCTGGACCTAACATTTTTATGGTTATGCATGCAGTATAAATTTTTTTAAAATGTTATAATTAAAAAGACAAAAATATTTGTCATGAAGATTTTCTTCTGTTGACAATACAACTAGTGTTAGGATCAGGGGAAATCCTAGCAGTAAAAAATAGCTCAGGTAAGCCCAACCAGTGTTGACAAAAATCAATACATGTAGGAACAAAACTTTAAATGACAAGCCAAATACAATTAACCTTAATATATTTAGTAAATGAATAAAATTGATCAATGGAACTCAATTAGATAATGAAAAGCCTATGCCAAAAAACTAGGAACCAGGTTATAGATGGCCAAATTTTAAAATGTGTATTATTTTAGGGTTTGACTCATTGCTGAAAGAGGTGTGAAAATAAAAGCGTTGAAATACAAGTAAAATGAGTGTTACCGTTTTAAAAGTTTCTCATGGTTTTCATGGCAAGCTTCCAACTTTTCAGCTATAGAGTGTGCATGTTCCTTGAGTGATTGACGAGATTCTGATAGCTGTTTCATATCACTCAGGTGCTGCTGTTTCAGTTGTTTTAATATAGAAATCCTGAAGAAACATTTAGAATTTTAACAATATAAATATATTGGCCGTCTTGTGGAATAAATATTAATTCCACAGTTCACATTCTATTTCTTATAAGAAAAATAATCAGTTAATGCAATCATATTAACCAGTGCAATGCTAAGGAAATATTTCCCAAGAAAATTCCACACAGTTCTAATGTAGTCCCTAAAGTAAATGAAAATAAAAATGCCTAGGCATGGAACTGACTAGACAATCCCATCATGAAACTGTGTCACAGAATCAGGTTAACTCTACTTTATATTAGTTTTATTAATTTGACCATCAAAGTGGCCCTAATGCTCTCTCTTAAACTGACAGTGATATCAGAAATAGAAACTATTTTTTATAAACTGAAGTCGTAACTAGAATACCAGACTCATGTTTATCTCTAGACTAGAACCCTAAAACAAACCTCCTGTCTATTTCCTGCCTAGCATGATCCTGTCTTTGGATGTATTCTTCCCTCAGTATCTGGGTGGCTCTACTCAATAGCTGAAAACATCCTTGCTGGCTGAGTTCTGTGTTGTTGGCAGATCTGAAACAAGTTGGTACCAACATTAGCTGGGTCTAGTAGAGATATGTGGTACCGATATTAACTGGGTCTAATAGAGAAATGTGATACAGACATTAACTAGCAGAAAAAAGTATTCTAAGGCTAGCTGCAAGGTGAAACTTTAACTAAAATGTATTGAAATGCCTGGCCATGTTAAGATGTAAGGGTACAACTACAACATGACAACAGATGATTTGACAGTTTTCACAGATTAAAGTTTCTGTGTGCTGTATGTGAAGGTGTCCCACTGTCCATTAAAACTATGGGACAGACATCAATATTTACATGAGCAAAGGATTTGATGTCCGTTTCTGTAGGATTTGTTGAACTTGTGCACTGAAAGGTTTTTTATCTTGAGTTAAAGATTTGTTGAGATCAGATCCTGAACCACTGAGATTAGTAACCAGCTGATATTGACATCTGCAACAAAAGACAATATGGTAATTAAATACACACCTGCCTAGCCTAATATTAAATGTCAAGATTCCTATTCTCTGAATACCATTAACATGACTCAATGAATGCGTCATACACACACAGAAAAATAAAAAAATTATATACATTATAAAACAAAGTTAAATAATTTTAAAAAAGAAAAGCTAAACTATGGAACTTACCCTATAGGCAATGCTGTAAAATTATAATCATTAGCAAGCACAAGGAGGGTGTTGCCAAGCAATGGGTCATTTACAACATCCAATCCAAGTATTGGTGAAGTTGGACTGGAGTATTAAAACATGACAGAAGAAGAAAACATTACAATTTCGCAAATAGGTTTTTGACAAGTTTGTAACCAATAATCTGGTTATCATAATCACTAGATGTGGTTGTGATACTCAATATATTAGGTTAACATAATCATTAAATATGTTTAACACAATCAAATTATCTGGTTATCATAATCAATATAGATGGTTAACACAATATATCTGGTTATCTTCATAATCAATATTTGGTTAACATTAACAATATTTCTGGTTATATCATAATCAATGCTAATTTATCATAACAACTTTTTCTTTTTATCATAATCAATATATCTGGTTCTCACAAATTGCAGATTGTCAGTTTAATCAATTATCAAGTTTAGTTATTTGTATAACTGATAAATTGCAATCTCCAACATAGTAAATACTCTAATCCTAATCTTTTGTTATCTATTTTACTGGTATGTTTGTTGTGTATAATGCTAGAACATTACAAGTTACAACTAAGTAAATAATATCTATTGACAAACTGTTTACAATACAGTAAACTATTACAGTAAACTAGAGGTGTTAAATAAACACAGACCATGAGTTCAAAGGTTTGGTGCACACTAAGTGCTCCACTACACACTCTTTCTCTTCTGGCATGTTGAAATCTCCTGATTCATCTGTCAAATCAAGGTACACAAAAGATGATTAATACACAGACATAAAATTATGACTTTTATGTTAAAGGTACTTAAGTTAAAAACATGAATCCAGTATGGGACAAAACAATTCAAGTTCTAGTTGTTTCTAAAGATAGTTACCATTTAAAAGAAGAATTTAGCTATATATTAAGAACAGTCTTCAAAATGTCATAAAGTTCTATTAGGTGGGTAGAGTAAAAAAAATTAAAGGAAATAAAGTTAATTTAAAGACAGACACCAAGACTGACCTAGGAAATACTGTTATTTACACAACTAATTTAAAGACAGACACCATGACTGACCAAGGAAATACTGTTGTACCACACTGAGCCAAGGTAGAGCAACACAGTGGACATAAGATATTCACACAACTAATTTAAAGACAGAGACCAAGACTGACCTAGGAAATACTGTTGTACCACACTGAGCCAAGGTAGAGCAACACAGTGGACATAAGATATTTACACAACTAATTTAAAGACAGACACCAAGACTGACCTAGGAAATACTGTTGTACTACACTGAGCCAAGGTAGAGCAACACAGTGGACATAAGATATTTACACAACTAATTTAAAGACAGACACCAAGACTGACCTAGGAAATACTGCTGTACCACACTGAGCCAAGGTAGAGCAACACAGTGGACATAAGATATTCACACAACTAATTTAAAGACAGAGACCAAGACTGACCTAGGAAATACTGTTGTACCACACTGAGCCAAGGTAGAGCAACACAGTGGACATAAGATATTTACACAACTAATTTAAAGACAGACACCAAGACTGACCTAGGAAATACTGTTGTACTACACTGAGCCAAGGTAGAGCAACACAGTGGACATAAGATATTTACACAACTAATTTAAAGACAGACACCAAGACTGACCTAGGAAATACTGCTGTACCACACTGAGCCAAGGTAGAGCAACACAGTGGACATTAGATATTTACACAACTAATTTAAAGACAGATACCAAGACTGACCTAGGAAATACTGCTGTACCACACTGAGCCAAGGTAGAGCAACACAGTGGACATAAGATATTTACACAACTAATTTAAAGACAGACACCAAGACTGACCTAGGAAATACTGCTGTACCACACTGAGCCAAGGTAGAGCAACACAGTGGACATAAGATATTTACACAACTAGTTTAAAGACAGACACCAAGACTGACCTAAGAAATACTGCTGTACCACACTGAGCCAAGGTAGAGCAACACAGTGGACACCAGCGGCATGAGCACAGTGATAACGGTCAGGGCTGGAGTAATCTGGGGATGTTGTTATAACAGCTCTTGTAAATACAGATGTCAACCCCACCAATATAGATATACTACACCATTTTTTCTAGCTACATCATACTAAAATTATACAACTGCTGTTTAGATAACATAAATAGTAATCACATTTTGCTGTGATATGTTGTGATAAGTTATAACAGCTCTTGTTAATACAGATGTCACCCCACCCAAAATAGATGTACATATATCCTTTTTTTTTTACACCACACCATTTTTTCTATCTACATCATACTAAAATTATACATCTGCTGTTTAGATAACATAAATAGTAATCAATGCAATATGTTGTGATAAGTTATGCAGCTCTTGCAAGTACAGATGTCACCCCACCCAAAATAAATTTACAAATATCTTTCATTACACACTACACCATTTTTTCTAGTTACATCATACTAAAATTAATACATCTATGTTTAAATAACATACAATATACACATTAAGTTTTGTCTTTACTTGAGTGTTTTTTATCTAAATTTGTAAAAATAGAATTACATAAAATAAATAGAATTAGTTTTAAAATTTCAGGTATTTCTCTGATAACTGGAACAACAGGAAACTTGTGCTAATGCAGGATATTACAAGTATTTAACAAACTATTGTCTGGCTGAACTAATCAAGAACAACTACAGACCTTTCTTTAAGCGTACAGGGCACATGAAGTCATCATCTATGGTAGTTTCCCCATCAAACTTGGGCAAACTCAGGCATAGCTCCAGCTCTGCTGTCTCTATCACATACAGGGATGGTTCAACAGGACATGAGTACAATGATGAAACTTCTGACTGGAGACAGAAACAAGATGTTACATGCTTTCAAGACTACAAGAATAATTAGAAATAAAAAGTTATGTCAGATTGAAATTAATATAATCAGAATGTTTCAAGTACAAATATCAATGGGAGATTCAGACACAATTGGCATTTGTGGATGTGTATAGATTTTCCTGTGTGTGTATATCCATACATTAATTTGATATAGAAATATTTAAAATATTGAACTTGCATACAAAATGTATGCATTGTGTTTGAAAATAAAATCTGCATTAAGAGTGATGACTTATCAAAGATTATGAACTCAATGTGGCCTTTGACCTGTGTATTATAGCATATTTCTGAAATGTTAAATTTGTTATGTGGTTTTCTTTAAATTAAAAAAAAACTTTTGTCTTCTATGCAGTAAAATATACTTGTTGAAATATTACTATTAAGGTTTAAAACGTTTATCTAGAAAGGGTAAAGGTTAAAATATTGGAAAGGGTTTAAGTAAGTAAACAGCAAGGGTTAAAGTAAATCACCAAGGGATGATTAGAGTCAAATCACAAGTAAGGATTAAGAGTAAACAACTATCACAAAGACTTACCAGTCTGCTCTGGTCCTCCAGAGAGCCAGGCAGCTGCACACAGTGATGGACCCTGCCCTCGCACGTACTGATGACAACCACAGGGAAGGGGGTGGGCAGACAAATGATGGAGCAGGCGTCCACTCCGTAGTTGTCGTCTGCTGGAGGATTCATGGCCAGGGGGCCTTGAACTGGAAACTTCAGCTGCCTGTTACATGATATTTGTTACATGCCAGATGATACTTGTTACATGTCAGATGATATCTGTTACATGTCAGATTAAATTTGCTACATATCAAATACTTGTGTTACATGTTGAATGGTATTATTGAATGATATTGCTTACATATCACATAATATTGGTCATATGCCAAATGATTTTTGGTAATTCATTTCAAACTTGGTGGGAACACTATTACTTGTATTTGGACCACTGGCCAAAGAGTGTCTCTAATTAACACTAAACTTGTTATTTCACTATTAGAACAAAAGTAATGAAACCTTCACAGAAAATTAACTATAGGGTCAATACAAACATTGCAAAAGCATTTTAAGATATCTCTATTGATTTTTGTAGTTTCCTCAGTTAATATTTTTCAATTTTTATCAACATTATATTGTCAGAATACAAGAAACCATGCATGGAAGTTTTAGGACATATAATATTAAAAACTATTAAAATCCGTTAAGATGTCTCTATTTATGGTCTCTAAAGTCAGTGTCAGTTTTAAAATGTTCCATTTTTCTGAAGAATCCTGTATTTTTGCTAAATAAACATGACAAGAGTACCTGGCCAAATCTATGCTGTAACTTCAGTTAACACGATAAAACTACTTGACTAAGTTTATGCCTCATGGTATAAAAAAATACTTTATCAAATTTATGCCTTTTAAGATATGATAAAACTGACAATTTTGTGAGATAGTAAAGTTTATGTTATGTGTAAAAAAATTATGAAAACATTAGCCAAAAAGTATCCTAAATGGTGGCTGCCTTGTTTAATGCTGTATAATAAAACCTATCCACATAATATTTTACAAATTTGACAAATTCTATACCTATAATAAAAATATAATATAATAAGTAATAACTAAGCTAAATTTACAAAAGCAATTTTTTTTTCTTCTTTTTCTAACTACTTGAGATTAAAAAAAGTATTTAAATCCACCATGTAAAGCAATTAAACTGAGTTGACACAAAATACTTGCTCACGACAAAAAAAAACCCAGGTGATCAATTACCTGAAATGTGAGAGGTGTGAATAGAGCAGCAGGACGTCCCCATTGCCCCTGACACAGTACACTGGCCACACTTCAACAGGCTGAGCTTTGGGGGACTTGAGGAGGCTGCTCTGTTTAGGCTGGACGGTGATGGCTGCCCCAAAGTCAAAGGCCACTGATGTCTCCCCCAGTGCGGGGCCCACCAGGGTTTTACTGGGGGAGTAGGCTGGGGACAGGTCCCCTGTGTTGATGTTCATTATGGTCAGGGGTTCATCTGGTGCGTGGATGTCATACACACTGCAGAGGACAAGGACATGGATGCTTAACATGGACAGGGTAACTGATGGTAGAACAATATGGCATAGTATTGCTTATTAGCTGACAAGTAGGTTTCAAATTCAGCTCTGTCATGAGTCAATCATAATAAAAAGTTCCATTTTGAACCTGACGGCCCTTGAGGCAAGTGAAGTACAGTTTTTGTGAACTCTACATATGAAGGGATAGTGTGGCCAGCACTATGCCCAGCCGATTTACTGACGCACTAGACAGTTAACCCACAAGTCTTGAGTTCAAATCCGGTTCAAGTCAGTAGAGCGCTCCTTGAGTCCACCCAGCTCTGATGGGTACCTAACACACCTTAGGGAATGTAAAATCAGCTGGTCTTAGAGTGCCAGACTGAAATCAAGAAAATTTAAAGTGGCGGGGCACTTTTCTGACCACAATCCTTTGATGACCTTAATATAGAAAAACTACTTTATAAACCATTAAGTTTTGAAATAACACTACTTTTATTAAGCAATATTAATTTATAGCGAGTAACAATATAATCAAATAAATACTACACTACAAATACATCTGGTTATTTAGTATCTATAAATCTGATAAACATAGCAAAAGTTACCTGAACATGTTATCTGAGGTGAGGAGTGCAAGGTGAGAGTCTGTTTTGCTACCTGGATGCCAAGTCACCTGCCGTATCCGTAATGATTTATGTCCACTAAATATATGCTCCCCGACTGGAATAGTTCTAAAGCAAAGAGAGAAAGGAGACTGAAATACTTTGTTTTTTTAGTTCATCATTTTACAGATTTTAGTTTCATTAAAAAATTATATACAATGAAAGAGAGGAGTTATATTGTTTTAAACTATCAGTTTGCATTTTCAATAAGAATATTTTAGGGAGTTTAAACGTTTGTTCGTAATTGTATGCAGAATTGTTAAAAAACCTGTATGAAGTTCAAACGTTCAATATTTTTTAGTCAGCAATGTATTTGTTAATGTTTTATTTTAACATGAAAAAAAAATACAGTCAAATATTTTTTTGTCTCCATGCTGAACATCAATGCAGTAAAATTAAATCATACTTTTGCCTACTTCATAACCTTCACACAGGATTAGACCAGGGAAAAAATTACTAGACTCCCCGCCACCAGTCTGGTCTATACGCGTCTACAGCTACAACAATTCAAAAGTTATCTCAGCCTTACCGGCAGCTGACAGACTCCTTGCCACCTTCAAACATGACATTTTTACCCCAGCGTCTGGGCAGCTCCACCACCCGGATGCCATGAGCCCCCCACACCACCAGGAAGTTTCCCGTCTCATTAGGGCTGATACCTTCAACATCCATAGACAGCCTGTCACACAGCAGCAGCTTCTACAAAGGTAAACAAGAAACCTTCAGCAAGTCAGCACAATACACTGGCTTATGCTAACAGAAATAAAGGTATAACAAGTATATGCAATACATTGGCTTATGCTAACAGAAATAAAGGTATCACAAGTATATGCAATACATAGGCTTATGCTAACAGAAATAAAGGTATAACAAGTACATGTAATACTTAGGCTTATGCTAAGATAGAAAAAAAAAGGTTTAACAAGTATATGCAATAGGCTTTGGTTACCATGTAATCTCTAACAAGCATAGGCTTAGGTTAAGATAGAAAAAAAAAGTTTGATAATTAGTTTTTAACCAGAATATGCAGTAAATAGAAAAAAGGGTTAATGAAAAAATCAGCAAGTCTACAAAACAAAATTGGCTTATGTGAAATTAAAAAAAGACATAGTAGCAATTGTGGTTATTGTAGTCAACAGTTTAAAATGTAAAATTTTTGAAGAGGAGATTTTAGAAATTCTTTGTTGTTGGGCTACATGAAACTGGATCAAGTGAGTGAACTGGCTGATTAAAACACTTTGTAGGGTAAGACCGGAAGCTTACAGAAAAATGCGTAGTGTACATGCTACTACAGGCCAGAGTTAGTTTTTGGCTTCAATATGTATCAACCAGTCATACCTACATATCAGTAAAGTTGGTATCACTTTAAGCTAAACTTTAAACATATACCTTAAGTATATACCAGCTACAGAATTAAAGTAAAGCACTGAACCAACCTTCACATATTGGTAACTAATCTACAGGGGTACCCTATCAACTGAATATTTAATAGAGTGAATGCTGCAGTAACAGTAAATGATCCAGTACAACTAACCACTCCAGTTTCATATAAGATAAACCTAGAGTGACAATATTTAAAGACACAATTCCAGTGGTGTTGTTCATCTTTCTGGTGTTTATGGGGATGGACGGTGTTGCTGATATGGTCAAGTGAACAAAACTGATGTGAACAGCAAGGTTGACTTTCAAAGACATGGCTATATTCTGCTTCAGAAGGCTCCTAATGAAAAGTGGGATGCTGGCCACGTGGGAGGGGGGATGTTCATCTAAACAGGAACAAGCAAGAGGGCTAGATCTTTAATTGTAGAAGAGCTCAGTTCTACCAACTGTCTGGTCCATTGAAGGCAAGCTTATATCAGCTTAGACTCTGGCTAAACAAACAATCCTACACTGTGTGCATGTCCTCCATGCTTCATCTCACATCTTCAATGCCTGCTTATCATATTGCTTTACAAGCCTGATCATTCCCAGATTTTTTTTCCATACCTAGCAGTGCTATTTCATTTAAACTTCATTTTTTGTTTCTTTACATCAAATATCATGTTATCATGTTTTAATAAACAAAATGTCTGTAAACTTTAAACCACAAATACATGTTCATAAAACAATTCACTAAAACTAATACTGAAGTAATAAATGCTGCCAAAAATATATGTCAACACTTAGCAATAATGCATTTATAATAAAAATCAAACATCCATTAATCAAACTATTTATCCAACAAGTATAAGAGAAAATATGTTTATTGTGTATTGAACAGGATGGCAAAGACAATTAAGAACATTGGTACCAATGTATATACTATTATAATAAAAAAATGTTTTTGTATTTAAAAAAAACAAAGGTTTTGTACTATTTTAAAAATAAACAGTAGTCCACAAGGTAATAGCCTATTTTACAAGAAGCAATTTTAACACATGGTTACTGAATGGCTTTTGTGAGAAGTCTAGAAAAAAAAAGTTTTGTACTAATTAACTAAACTGACCCAGGAATAACTCAAACCTTTCACCATAATCTGCAATGTAGGCACTAGGCAATGGGACCATTTTAAAAGGAAACCTCTATCTTAAGAAGATTATAAAAATCAAATGTTTACATAACATTATTTTGAAGGCTGAAAATAAACCTCACTTATTAAAAAATGCAGGTATATCTCACAGAGAAGAGCCAAATTAAAATTTTGTTAATCTAATATGAGATATGGGATGATTCATACGTAATGTTTTATTTCAAGAAGATTTGAAGGAATTGAAAAGTATATAAATACTTAAAAACATTTAATAAGTAGAATCAAGTACTATTATGGTTATTTAATAAAAATTATGCAAAAAAGTTTTTTGTAGCTAACTTTTAAGCTGGTTTTAAGGTTAAAGTTATTTTTTAACAATCCCTCCTTATTGAATTGTTACGTATTGTAGCTTAAAATTTAATTCAACCTCAGAAAATGTTCATGCTGTGAAATCTTTTGGTCTTGTGATTACTGAAATTGTTTTGATTATGTAGGCCTACTTTTGCCAAAAAGGATTTAAAAAGCTGGTACATTTTCTTTTACAAAAATTAACTGTAAAATTTGACAGATATATTAACTTGTTTAGAGGCTAGATACCTCCTTAGATATGAAGTTATAGAGCATAAAATATTTACTTATTTTATAATTTGAAAAGAATACATTTTAGCGTTAAACATATACGGAGAGCCATTAGTAAACATTGCAATAGCATCTTTTCTGCAGTACTCAATGTGTTCCTGAAAATAACTGAAGAGATTTTTTTGCAGTGTTAACAAATATTAAATGTGTGTATTTTTTAAAATAACAATAACATTTGTACAAATAAATATATCTGAGGTTAATAATAATGTAGATAATTTATTTTTGGGGAAAAAAGCCAATACTAATTTTGGTTCTACTTTTGGGAATTAATAAAGCACTATATGTCAAGGATATGTCATGTTCATTCTGTTGTGAACAAACAATGATACTTATGGAAAAAAAAAAAAAAAATTTCATGCTGTATGAAATTACTTATTTAAAATCTTTGAATTTTCTTTTCAACTTTAGTATTTTGTTAGACTGCAAAGTTACCCAAAAGACAAATTTGAAAAAAACATGTTTTTCCTCTTAGCAAAAACAAATTAACATCAATTTATATATATATATATATATATATATATATATATATATATATATATATATGTATATATAATGAAAATTAATGAAACATTAAAATAGTTAGAATACATTAGAAAGAACTTGTTATTTAACATCTTAAAAAACCAATTAATCACAAAAACAAATTGTTTATCTTGGTCTATCTGTCAATATGATGTTAGGTCTGCAATTGTATCTTTGGCTTTTGATTTTTAATTATATTTTTATTAGGGAAAGTTTCTAAGTAAAAAAGGGATATTTGTGAGGTATGCTAAAAAATGTATAAATTTAACAGACACCAACACTAAGAACAACAGTTTTCAAAAATATTTGTCCTCTTAATTTTACTCACATTTTCAAATTTTGTCTAATTCAAGAATACAATCAACGATGCCGTGGCCATAAAGTAAAGCTTATGACTGCTTAATTAAAGTCTCAATTTTGGATCTCAGGCTAGAGTCTATAGGATTCCCCCAGGTCCACCCAACTATGTTCCATATAGGATTCCCCCAGGTCCACCCAACTATGTTCCACACCTGACTCACGTTACGGAAACCATGCAGCTGGTCATAGTACTGACCACACATTCCCCCTGAGGTCATCAAAAAAGATTAACTCTACTTCATCTGTCATATATGTCTTGGGCTATAGCAGGAAAAGATGGTGGTGATGAAGAATAAAATCACACTTTTTAAAACTGAGCTTACCATTGATGTTTTTCTAAGGTCAGGGTAGGGATAAAAAGTAAGCAAGTAAAGTACTCTTTTGAACCTGATAGTCATTGGGGCAGGTGAGGAAGAGTTTACCTGTTTCAGTGACCTCAGCACATGAAGGGATAATGTGGTCAGCACTATGCCCAGCTTTACTTTCCCTCCTGCGAGTTGTACTAATATAGGGTTGTACAACACACACCGGTGATTTGAACTTGAGTGTTGGGTTAGCAATCATAATCTCTACCACCCCACCACACTGTCCAGCAGACCAAAGTTTGGTGATGGATACAAATCATTCGTCAAACAAATTATCCTTAGTGAATGGATAACGAAAATGCAGATTAAAAAGAAAATACTATCTGTTGGGCTATTTTTATAGTGAACTTAGGTTTATATAACAATTAGTTTGGAAATTATATTTCATTTTCATAGACCAACAAACAACTAGCTGTTGTAGCACTACCATTAAAATTAAAAAAAAGATCTATAGTAGTGAAGAAAAAAACATGAGTGTTGAAGATTATGAAGACTCGACTTAATCTTGCCACTACAAGTATGGATGCAACTTTTTAAATTAAGGAAATATTTACTGTATTGTGTAAAATAGGGTCTATAGAAATAGATTTACAGCAGATTAGCTCAAAATCAAACCAGACTGGGATGATTGAGGATACTGATGTCTGATAATAATAATAATGTTAGGTTGTTAGTATTGCTATTTCGTCAACTTTTATTGTTAGAAATTAGGGTTAGGTGTATGATATGGCTAGGATTGGGGTAAGCATTAACACTGATTAGCAAGACATGTGTAATTTGGTTAACTTCCAGTAACCTAACACCAGTTTTAAAAGAAGATTCTCCTATTCAATATATTGTGCCATTATGATTATCGGAAATGTGCGTAGTACGTAAAATGTAAGTTTAGTAAGTTTGTTTAATAAAGTTAAATTAGATCTAGATCTAGAATATTTTTTTCTGAATTTAGAATGAGTCTTGTTGAATGTTCAATACTTCTAAATCTGGCTTAGTAGATCTAGAATCTAGGGTGTATTATAAATTCTAAAGTAGATTCTCTAGATTTAGATCTAGACCTAGACTCTAGTCTAGATTCTAGATCTGGTTCTTTTTCAAGTTTTTAATGACTAGCTTTCATGAATGAAAAAGAAATAATTTTAAAGCTAGACAGTTAGTATGGGCACCTGGAACTGGGGCGTGTCATCCTTGGAATCAGCGTTTCCAATATTCGATATTGATGGACTAGAAGAGTTTGCGTTGCTCCCGCTCCCACCTAGTCTGGGTTGCGATGCTTGTTGACACTCTTCACTAGGCAGATGTTGAGAGCTTAGCGTTTTTAAATTGCAGTGGAGAATTTGTCCTTCAGAAGCATCCCATATAAATAAATTACTACCGTGAGTGCAAAAAATGCTTTTTGTATCAATATTATGTTTAAGTATCGACTCCTTGGCGTTGTTCTCTCTTAATAGTTTAGAAACTGGATGTTTATTCAACTGATCGCGCCAGCCTCCAAACTCCATGGAAGTCGCCATTTTGTGGCACTCTCTAACAAAATTTATTTGATTTGTTAAGTTATGATAAAACAGGTGATACGAATTTTTCTGATGGTAAATAAATTAATTGTTCTATTTTCTTTAAGAACGTTACAAATTCTGGCACGCCAGGCTGCGTAATATTGTTTAAAGTTCTCCGATACTTGGGAAGTCATGTGACCAATCGATCGAGCCTATAATCCCGTTCAAGATGGCTGCGAATATGCAGTCGATGTGTCAGTATTGGAAAAACTTCGATTTGCAAGAGCTACAAGTAAGTGAAAAGTTTATTTTTTAAATTTTATTTTTACAGTATTTATGTTTTTAAAAATGTGTGTTGATTCACATCTTTTAAAATTACAATTGAAGTTGTTGCTCGAGCGTTGTTGTTATGAAAACTTGGCCAGTTGATGCTCCTGGCAGTGGCTCTCTCTGAACTCGACTGCTATCGATAGGAATAATTCAAAAAAAAAAAATCAATATGGCGATACCCATTGCCCTAAAACTCTTTGTGTGTAGGAAGCTGGCACACAAATAGATTCGAGTTGTCTCTTTGATAAATTATTATTTTATTTGTGGGTTCATTTAAATTTTAGTGAATTATAAGAGAGGCAGTACAGTCAGGAAACACAAAACAAACAAGTCTGCCCCCCCCCCCTCCCCCACTATCATCTATGCATCTTTCATGTCTTCAGCCTTTTCTAGGCTAGGCGTACGATGGCATTTAATTTTTGTATTCATTAATGCCTTCATATCCCATTATCAAGCTTTGTTAAGCCTACATTTTTAAGGTTTCAGAAAGTTGATATTATTCATCAGTTAGGTCCATAGATCTCTATTATATATTATATGCCATCAGAGCCCTAGAGTAGATCTAACAGTTCTACTGGTTAGGAGGCCTAAACAATAGATATTATATATCTAGACATTATTCAAACAAATAGACATAAGGTCTATAATATATATTTAAATTACTAATATATTACTTAGGCCTACTATTGTACCTTTTTTAGACAAAAAAACATTGTGTTATAATTTATCATTGAGATTATATTAATGAAGATGTAGCCCTAGTTCATTAGCTCAGTAGATTTTCTAACTTAATCTAAAATTTACTCAATTTTCAATTTAAACATGATCACTGAATAATAGACATCCATATTTAATCCATTAGGCACTAGTTTTGAGGTAATTAGTTTGTTTTAAACTGAATTATTTAATTTAATAGGCCTATTTATTGTCACTCACTGCCATGGCATGACACACCTTTGCCACGACAACCGATGTTATGTTACTCTTACGTTTGAAGCCATGGCAAACCATGGATAGGTTCGATTTTTTAATTGACTATGCACCAAAGTTTCTCAAAATAAAAATTGGTAGTGTCATGAACACAGGTCTTATAAAAAAACAGCTCACAATATTTGATTTCTTTTTTCATAGACTGATAAAACTAATAATGCTTTACTTTCATGCTCATTTTTCTACCTACACCGTCGATATTTTAAATGTTCTATTAATTTTAATGAAACCAACTTTTGAATTTAGCCTACATTCTCCAATCCAAATTTTAAAATGCTTTTTTGGCATATATAGCCCTGCCACTTATAGTTTGTTGTTATAACATGAAAACCACGCCATTTTGCTCGTGGTTAACATTTTAAACAGTAATTCTAAGAAGGTCACTGGAACTAAGACAAAAATCGTCGGAAGTCATGCATCCGGTGTGTACGCCATATTGTTGTTATCAACCGGCCACACCTCCGGGTTAGCAAGTAATACTACATTTAGCCTAATCAATTAAATAATAGAATTAACTGTTGGCCTAATTCAGGCTCAGCAAGCTTAGTGTACTTCAATAAAAATAAAAGTATCCTTTGCATTACTTTTTCTTTCATCTCAAGAAAATAAGATGAATAGGCCTATGCATTTAAATAGTCTATATAAAATTGAATATATAAATTGGGCCTAAAACACCTAAGACTTTAAATTTACTTCATTCCATTCATATTTTAGTTTTTTTCTAAGCTATTACTTTTTTATTATCGATTCTGATCTAGAAGTAAGTTTTAAAGTAAAAACAACAAAAAATGAGTACGAGTTAAACTTACTATGAAATTTTAAAATATTGTCACCATGTTTAATCAGATCTTGAGCACTGCTTAGCTTATAATCTAACGTAATTAATCATCTGCCAGTAATTGGGTTCTTACAGGAGAATGTCTTGTTGAAAAGAGCGAAGAATTGAAAGTAAAACTAACATTACAGCATTGATATATTTATCATGTTCATTTATGTTATTCCTAATTTATTAATTATATTGTCAAGAGCCTACGCTTCATTATATTGAATTATCAACTTTTGTATTCCTACTTTTTATCAAGTATCATTCAAGGTTAATTTTAGTACTCATAGATAATCTAATAATACTAAATTGTGTGGTTTTCTTTGTTTTGTGTCTGTATTTTTTATATAAATGAGAGATTATTTAAGGTGTATTAAAAGTCCAGCTTGATAACACACACAACAGGTAAGGAACAGACATATCACTCAAACAACTTTAATTTTTATTTAGAGAAGCTCTTTTATAAGTTGTTTCTGTTAGTTGTGTGTGTGTGTTTCCTGCTTTTACTACTCTGGCTGTGGCTCTAATCCTTACCCTAACAGCAATAAACTGGGGGATAATTCTTGGAAGTATACAGCTTCTTTTTTACACTGAGAAAATTTGACTCTACTGTACAGTAAGTGGCTTAATGAATTGGGAGCTAATATTTTTAATCTGGTGCCCATCAAGATGGAACCTGGGTAGGCCTAGCAGTAGTGTGTATAATTCTTTCAGCAAATCTCTGGTTGTTACCTCTGTTTCATGTTTTATTCTGTTTTGTTGTAAGGGGTCATCCATTTATGACGTCCACATTTTTTTTATTGGGACCCCCCCCCCCCCCCCCCCCCCCCCACACACACACAAAGATCCACCTTTTTCCTTATAAAAGTCAATATGCGTCCACAAAAGTCAGTTTTTTTCTGACACCCCCCCCCCCCCGCGTGTGGACATCATAAATGTATGACCCCTAACCCCCTGAGTCCATCCAGTTGATATTGAGTTGTTGGTTTTATTCTCTTCTTAATCTGCTTTGGTCTCCAAGCTTGTGAGTCCATCCTTACTTAGTACATTTTTTAACTTATTAAAGATAATTTAGTTTTTAAAATATTCTTGTGATGTGTAGTATAAATACAATTTTGAAACATTGCAAATTTTCAACCCCTATGAACTTTTCTCTGTTTATAGTTTGCTTCTTTGGCTGCCAACCTACATAAAGTTAGCTTTTGTGTTTCTTCATGTGATACTTAGTTATTAAATTACTATGTAGTGATACTATTCTTTTCTTATTATAGAAACATTAGAGTAGTTAAAAGAATACAACTTAAAAGAATGAGTACGCAAAGATTTTGGTATAAAAACCATATAGTTAAATAGATTTGACTTGTTTAAGTCAATAATATTTATAGATCTAGTCTATAATTCTTTACAATTTCAATTTATTTAAATACACATGTCAACATTTTTCTGAATTTGTGTTTCTCGATTTAATAAAATAATGGTTAACCCATTATTATGTTTTTTTGTAACTCAGACAATTGTATCAAAAAATGAACCCTCCATTTTCAACTTTTTGATCATCTTTAAAAAAAAACATTTAAAAAAGAGTAAATGAGAATAATTTTCCCATTGAAACAGATTACATGGGTGTGTTGATTTAATCAGATGTATAGAACAGTTACAGGGCAGCAGTTGGTTGTGTTGTTCTTTAAACAAACGTTTGTGTGGCACGCTTAAAGTTGTAATCAAGCACATAACTGTTTCTTAGCTATTGTCTCTGGGTCGTTTTTTTTGTATCTGTTTGTCCAGAACCCACACATAGGTAAACACAGGATTATTCATTGATCGAAGAGCGGCCGAGGTCTATACCCGATGGAATTCAATCGCCAGCAGCCAGTAGAACTTGCTCTAGCATCTTCTTATTGCTTCCCCCACCCCTACACAGCCCCCCCCCCCCCCACCTTTTTTTTTCTAATGTCGCAAACAAAGAGCTGTAAACGTACACATTTTCCAGGCAATTTATTAACTTGCAAACTGTTTCTATGGTGATGGCTCTGCCAATGATCGGGACTCGATGGCAAGGAAAAACTCTTTATTCGGAATCAGGGAGGGGGGAATCAGAGATCAATCGATACAGCGCTAGCCACTAGCCATTGTGTCGGTTCTTTAGGGGAGGGAGGGAGGGAGAGGGCTGCATGTGGGACAATGATGAGTTGGTTGTTAAGTTTCTAATGATAACACAATAAGTGACTTGCGTAAGTCATTTCGTTTAGTTGACGTGCTTTGTTGTTTTACCGCAAACAAGAAAACACGAATTAATACAGCTATGTTTAGATGTATAAAGGCTACATATATATGACAGATATATAGATATTCATATATATATATATATATAGATAGACATATATATAGATGTGTACAAGCGTGCGTGTGTTTGTAAGGTTGAATGGCCGAAGTGTGCTCACGAGGGGACCTGGCGACCAGCAGCATTGACGGTTAATTAAAATATTCAACTACCCGCATTTACATCCTAGATACCAATCGATCCCTGCTTTGCATAACTGACTACTGGTCACGTGGTGAAAGTCTGTGAAAATCCATAAGGGAAATTTAATGATCATATTTCCTAGTTCATTAATCATTGAAGCCTTTGATGAAAGCGGAGATGGTTAGGCGAAAGCGTCTTGCGCTTTAGGGTCGGCGAGCCGCCCCGTGAAATACGACTTGGAGTTAAATGGAGTCAGTATATCGGGGGGCTATTTGGTAGGGCACCGTAGGCGCTGTTTCATCCCATTGTGCTGTCCGATCGACTGTTTGTTCTATGTTAGTTTCCAGAATTCAACGTGTAATAAAACGGATGGTGTTGAAATATTTCTTAAAATAGTTTGAAAAATGGTTG